TTTGTAATAAAGTTCTTAAAAGCTCGCAGGTAAATTATATAGTTATTTATCTACACAATAACATCTACTATTGCTATATCATTCAACATTGATACCCATAGAAAAAAGAAAAAAATAATAAAAGCTATTGGTATAACTACCAAGTTCACAATATTAAATGTTACACTATAAAAACAATGTGAAAAATCATGAGAACAAAACATTTTATTTTAATAAAAGTCGCTTACGACATCATTAGTGAACGAAGCATTTGAACATTATTATCTTTTACTTTTTGCATAGAAAGATGACTGCTTTTTATTAAGAGTTGAATTTTTTACTACTTACATTCAATTATATCTTGCCCTTTTGCCGTTTTTATATCACTCAAGACATTTTTGATTTAATTATAGTATATGAAGTATTATTTTGAAATGCATTTACAGCTTTTAGTTTGCACTAAATCAAATATCAATTCGAAACTATGAATAACTGATATTCAATTAATCAATTATAAAATACTTCAGTGTAAATAATTTTAATATGCATATGACTACAGTTTATTATTTCCGGCGAGTTCATTTAATGTTATATAAATATTAAATTGTAAATTGAACGATTAAGCGAACCAGTAAATGAAACTTCATTTGGAAGCGTGATTGATGTAATTATTTACTGAGCAGAGTTAATTATGGCTCTCGTTTGAATACCAAAAATTTTCTGCGATAGCAGATTTTAGACTTTCACCTGAAATTATTCAATTAGAAATATTTAATTAATTAAATGAACGCAATACGAATCGTTGTGTTGAATAATTGATGTTTTTCTATTTGCTAATTATAGCATTATCTAATTAATTAATTAACATATTAAAATATATTTATAATATTATGTTGGCGTAAATTTACGTTTTTTATTTTTAGGGATATGACCATCATACAATTTCAGAAGTTATGCAAAACATGCTTGTGAAAAAAATCAAATAGCTAAATCTCAATTCTTATCATAATTAATTCATAATCAACTAAGTTCGTGCAATTATTTTTTAAACAAAACGCCACGTAGTAGTTTAATAATGCATTAGTAATATCTTTTTTCATATATTTCTTTTCGGACCTGAAAATTTCACAAATGAATTCATACACGGTAAAATTTAAAATAAAATGTAAACTACAACGTAAAATCTCATATAGAGCATAATATAAAGTAAATACTAGAGTTCAAAATTTAACACTCCGCTTTTTTATTACTTTTTCATTATTTTCCAAGCATTTATACTGAGTTTGAAAGCAATTTATATTGGATTAAATAAACAAACTATATTGCATTGCAACTTCAAAGTTTGTTTTATTGTCTATGTAAAATTTTACAACGTTTTTGATTGAAAATACACCAAAAGCATGCGAGATAGAATTTTAGAATAGCCATACACGCAGGAGTCAAAACCTTATGCAGGTTAACTAAGCAATTGTTTTAAAATAGATTTGAACTGTTTAATAATGTATGTTATAAAAATTTACGAAATCGATCAAAGCTATTTACAAAATAGATTGGATCATCGATACTTGATAGACACAGTTTTTTTTTTTTTTTTTTTTTTTTTTTTTTTTTTGGCCTCTGGTAAACATTTAGCCACATACATAATGTACAATATACAGGTAACATATATAGTATATTGGTCACTTACAACTTAATTTTACTATTATTAATAAACCTAATTATGTTAGGATAACAGTTCAGATTTTGCAACAATGATGTCAAATTAAATGGTTTAATCAGTGTTTTTATAGAATGTAGTTCCTCTAACAATTTAGCCCTGCTTGCCTCAAATATACTACATTCTAGTATGATGTGTTCAGATGTTCCGCTTGATGCTCCACAAGGACATGATTCTGACTCTATTATTCCCAGCCTCTTCAGGTGTGCAGGGAAGTTGCCATGGTTAAGCCTTAGTCTTGTTATTGTTACGATGGTACCTCTGTTTTCATCTGCATATTTTCGGAACCACGGTTTCGTCTTCAATTTGGGGTTGACTGCCTTGTAGTGCCGTCCCTTTGTTTCCGACGATCTGTTCCATTGCTCCTGCCATTTTTCCAGTATTTTTTTCTTTGAATTATTTATATAGTCTTTCCTAGTGGCTAGGTTGATCATAGTTCCGTATTCTGTTGCCCATTTTGCTATGGAGTCCGCTTCATCGTTTCCACTAGAACCGGAGTGCGATCTTGTCCATAATAATTTGACTGTATACCCGTTCTCCAATAGCTGTATAAGTCTATTCCATACTTCATATACTAATGTCTCGCTTAGTCGATTAGTATGGAATAGATTTTTCAGTTTATCTATGCAGCTTTTGCTATCGGTAACTATGACTACTTTAGTGATTTTGTGGATTTCTATATATTCAATTGCTTTTTTTATAGCTATTAGCTCGGCTGACCAAATTGAAACGAAGTCTGGTAGTTTATATCCTATTTTGATATTATCGTTTTCATAAAATAAAGCGCAGCCAGTTTTGTTATTAATTTTTGACCCGTCTGTAAATATAACTTTATAATCCTCTATGTTGATTGTATTCGTATTGAATATTTTTTCTATCGTATAACTGTTGTCTAATGTGAAGAAGTTATAATACGGGTGTTTATTGTATTTATTTGTGTCTCCTCTTGTTTCAATTACTTTTATATAGCTATATACCAAGCTTGGTTTTGGACGATTTCTCCAATAGTCACTTGTTAATGTATCTATGGCTACATTCTTGATATTTTCGATTGTTCTATTATTTTGTACTTGGTATTTTTTAAGTACAAATTTATCACTTAAATATTGGAATCTTGAATGTAAAGGCATTTCTCCACTTTCCACCAACAATGCGTTTGTAGGTGTGGAGATCATTGCCCCTATGCACAGTCTCAAACATTTATATTGAATTTTTTCTAGTTTTCTGCAGTGAGGAGAGTTACTGAAAGCTAGACTTCCATACTCCAATGATGGTCTAATTATTGTTTTATACAAATTCAGGGCTGTGGTAGGGTGAGCTCCCCACCATGTCCTATTTACCATACGTAAAATGTTGATTTTTGGCTCAATTTTTTTGATTACTTGATTTATATGTGTTTTGAAAGATAGTTTTTTGTCGAATGTGATGCCCAAAAATTTATTATTTTCTTGTATTTTGATTGTATGGTATTTAGTCGTTAGTGCTGTTCTTTCTTCTAGCTTCCTGCGTCTTGTAAAGATTCCGATTGAGCTTTTTTCGTCCGACAATTCAAGTCCTTTCTTTGCGAGCCATTCGTGGAAGAGATCTATGTTACGACTCATCACCTCATAGGCTTCCTGGAGGCTTGATTTTTCTATATATATCACGACGTCATCTGCAAATTGTAATATTTTGGTACCTGTTTCCCATATTTTTTCTATGTCTCTTACATAAATTGAGTATAAGATGGGACTAAGAATTTCTCCCTGTGGTAGGCCTTTGTAGATTTTTCTCGGGCCTATCAGTTTCCCATTTATTCGGAAGAATATCTTTCTTTCTCGGATGTTGGTCGTAATTGAGTTTATGAATTTTCCTTGTAGTCCAGTGTTAGCCAGAGTATCTTCCAGCACCTCTGGTAGGACGTTATCGTACGCACCTTTAATATCGCTAAATAGAGCAACGACATAGTTGTTTTTTGCCATTGATAGATATAGATCTGATATAAAGATCGTTAGGTTGTCATATGTTCCCATGCCCTTTCTAAATCCACATTGGGATTTGGGAAGTATGTCATACTTTTCTACCCACCATTCTAATCTTCTCTTGATCATTGATAGACACAGTTTAAAAAGCTATTTAATTCATTAATTAGAGTATAGAGTACTTTTGCATTACTTAAAAAAAATCGAAATACTGAAAAGAAAAGTAATTGATGACCCACTTCGAAAATACTGGTCAATATATTTGTTGTATTTTTGTATTTTAACATCAAATTTGAGCAGCGTTTTTTTCCAAAACAAAATAAATTTTAAATCAGTTTGGTATGCTTTATAAATCATTCAGATCGATGTTTTCAGATAAGCAAAAAAATCATTTTCAGGACATGTATGCTGTATACACGCATAATTTCATCAATTATTTCCGAGAACTGCTAAAAAGATGAGAAGGGTTAAAAACATAAGATAAAAATAAAAAAACGCATTTTTGACTTTTGTGTTCTCTACGACTTGTCCTAAGGTACTTGTGCATCCCTGTAATTCATGCTGTGTAGTTAAATCTACCCAATAGATTCATTTTAAATCAATCTGTAAACTCGACCTTTGATTTTGTGATTTTCAGTTTTTAATAAAAATAAATGTCAAATGACAGTGTAATAGTCAAAATTGCGCATTTGGTTTCAAATGTCCATCGCAGCTGCAGGATCACTATATTCCCTAAAATAAATCTTCGAATGTAAATAACAACTACCATCCTATAAAATCAAAAAAATATTCAGATTGGTCGATATGTTGTTAGTATCTGAAATACTACATAAAAACCAGATGTGGGTGGATCAGAAAACATTTGCTTAGTATATCATCACAAATTTCGGAAGAACCATTTAAGAATTACGGTTCTGAAAGCACTAAAAGCGAGCTTTTGAATCTCAAGATCAGATCCAACAAACCCACGGTAATAAGTTAAGTTTACAGAACTATAGACAAGTACAAACTATTATGAAATTCTTTATTGCAGTGGTCAAAAATTAATGCTTATTGCATACCATAGCTAATAATAGACTTATCATAAATTGCTAAATAATAGACCTATCATAAATTGCAAAAACATGAGATTTATTAAGGGAGAATGTAATATTTGAATCCGTAAATATGATAACCTTACATCGAAATAAAAAAAAATTAATCGCATGAAGATTTTTTATCCAATTTTTACGGTTTTTTAATATATTATCTCGTGGATTTTGCTTGTAGATTCCAGGTGTCCCTTCTGAAGAAAAATTATATTACTGCATTGTAGGAGGTATCAAAAAAAGTCCCGTGTTGCTGGCCGGTTTTCATTATTTAAATTTAATCATAGTTCGTAATTATTTTTATTATGGTTATCTCCAAATGTTCTGGGTTTCCTTTCCAGCATTCTCCATTTAATAGCCGCGTGTTATCAGGAAGTCCCCGAGTTTTTCGACGACAGCAATAGCTCTTTTTGTCGGAATTGGTTCCTCAAACAGCGAAACTATCACTGTTTGCACCGTTTTCATACAGTAGACGCTAACTTTCCCGAACTTCGCTCGGACTACCCGATCCGTACCTGACATGAACAAGTAGTTCTGGCCTGCAAGCGTGACGCCGACAGACTTCAAATGATCTTGATTGCCAAAACTGGCGAGCAGTTTTGAGAGCTCGCCTTTGGTCACACCAAAATCTTCCGATTTGGCCCACACCATGCCATCGTGTCCACCAATAGCCGCTTTCGTCACGAGACGCGTTCCTATAAGTTTTTTTTGTATATAGTTCTCCCAACTCATGATTTAATTAGATAACTAAAATTTTCATTTTTTTTTTATTTTTGTATTAAAAAAAACAATTGATATTTGAAAACAAGATAAGATGACACACCAAGTAATTATGTGTTTTATAATATATTTTATACGATTCTTAAATGACGATTTAAACGATATTATGGCGATTCTTAAATGGGTATTTTCGAGTTTCTTTTCCCCCAGAGGCTGTATCTGGTCAAAATTAAAATAGTTAATTGCACTCCAGCATATATATATATATATATATATATATATATATATATATATAGGGAGGTTCTTAAATGGGTATTTTCGAGTTTCTTTTCTCCCAGAGGCTCAAATGCTTCCAAATTGATAAAAAAAATCTCAAAGTTTTAACTCTCTATATTAATTTTAAGATAGCCCGCACTCCAATTAAGGTTCTAAAAGCACTGAAAACTAAAGTTTCAGAAACTTTAGCTTTATTTACAAATAATTTAAATATAAAACACAACTAGGTGTGGTATTTTGCCTTAAGCCAACTTGCAAAAACTTGCCGCAATTCAATCTTAATCAATATGAATTAAGATTTAGCAACTTTTGAAATTGCATTTATTTATTTTTTTAAATTTTGATATATTGTATGAAATATAACATATAATGTCGAAATACTCTGAATATATGTCGGCACGATACAATCATTACTTGATCCTGGAGCATGTGCGATTTTCTTCTGCTTATGGCTTACGATGAGTTGAATTCTGGATAATGAGATTTTGACGCGAATACATATTTTATGTCATTACGTGATGTGCGAATACCAAATTTGTCCCCCAATGAAAATCATTTGTTACCTCTTCTCAATATTAGAATATTTTTAGAAATCTTGGAATATATATCTATATATAGGTACCTAAAGAAGATCTTGGAAAACGTACATCAAATGTAAAGAGATTTTAAAAAATCTTTACTTTTCCATAAGTTTTGTTGTATAATTTAATGTCATCATCGGTAGATATAAACAAATTGAGATTATATATCCACCACAAAGCTCGAAGAACACAGTTCTAATATATATTATATTATTAGGGGGGGGGGGGTAAAATGGGACATCCAGGGGCACTCAGATTCAATGTCTTATTTTTAATTTTGAGGAGATTTTACGAAATAATAGCTACATTATTCAACCAATGCAAAATATAAATTTCATGGATGCACTTTCTACAGAGATAACACTGTATATAACGTTAATCTGGTATTTTGTCAGAAAAATACATGAGCAGAAATGAAATAATTTTTTATTCAATTTATCTCTTGTAAAATAGGCTTTTCTAACTTAATTTAAATTTTTATTTACAATTTGCTATTGTTTACACCTTTGCCGGGGTAAAGGCTCAGTTGGTCCTTTTTACCACTAAAATATTAACAATGTTTTATCAAAAAAACCTTATAAAGGAATGGAATGATCAGTTTTTATTTTAAAATAAATACATGAAAAAATATAAGAAATTGAGAAGCAAGGTAAATAATGTTTGCAAGTTTCTCATAATGGAACGTATCTAGTTCCGAACCGCAGTAATTAAGCATACACAAAAAACTAAGTTTTTTATTTATTGGATTAATTGTTTGTAAAAAAGCATATCAATTTATTGTAATATCTAGGACTTATCAAGGTGTTTACTTGATACAGCAATACTCGCAAAATCCATTTTTACTGGAGATTATGTTTGAGATCTATAATTCCTAGTGGAAATTTTATATAATACTGCTTGATATGGGCTTGTCTGAGGTTGGGATCGAGCCCGGCTTGGTGAGATTATACCTGAATAAGACCAGTTTAAACTAAAATTAAATCATTCTCTTTTGTTTCTAAAATATTTGCCATTGGAACACTCGTCGATATTATATAATAATGGCAGTACGCCCATAGGATATGAAATATGTGATATTTACGTAACACGCGCTCATATACATGCACATGTATAAATTTGAAGGCGTCTTTACAGCTTATTCGATTTTTATGTTATATTTGTGACATAAAATTGATAAATGTATCCGCTGAGATCGATCTGCAACATTCGTGAAAAAATATGAGCCATTTTTGCATGCTTTGCTTGACAAAATAATTTGATTTATACATTATATATACACATTTTCTATTTATATATACAATTTATATAGGGGAGCTGGGGGTTATATGTAAATAGTAACATGCGTTTTGCAACAGGATCTTAAATTACATTAATTTTTTTTTATTAACTTCTTGTAGGTTAAGTTAAAGTAATCGCAAAAAAACAAAAATGAACATTTTTATATATTATTACCTAACAGTAATGAGATGTAAAACTTATTATCAATACAAAACAATAATATATATTACAGAACCAAAGCTAACTTCATTTTAAAATGTTCAACAATTACAATAGCACTTAAAAGTATACTTTCCAAAACATGATCAGTTTTCAAGATTAAAATTTCGCAAAGACAAGTACGCATTTCTTCTTTCCTTTCTGGTTTAGAAAGCATTTTAATATTTGTTGTATCAAACAAGCAATTTTAAAACTAAAAACATGTTAATAAACTTATATATTTAAAAAAAAGGGTGCGCGTAAGGTTCACACGCGATTGAAGTAAAACTTATTTGCTACTGTACAAGATGGCATTTAAGTAAAAATAAAAACATCATAACAATTTTGAATAATGTTTATTAGTATATTAGGTAACACTCGTGATGCACACATTTATTAGAGTCAACCATTATACACATTTATATAATGAAAAATTATAAATTATATTTTTATATTAACATTAAAAAGATTTATAATATTGAAAAACAATAATGTCATTAAAGTCGTACATCAAATATGACATGATCGGTTTGTCATTGTAATTAGCATTTAAAAATGAACCTTCAATAAAGAAATGAAGTGATTGCTGATTGATAAATTCTATAATATTCGTTCACACAGTGGATTATGTTAAACAACGCCTAAACAAATATTGTTTTTGCAACTTCACTCATCATATTATAATTGTGTTTGAAGAACTTTACGTAATTAAAATTAACATACATTCATTGACTGCTTGTATTTTGTTTTTATTGAATTCAAAACTGCTACGTAGAATCAATTAATCTTTCTTACAAGCATGTCTGGCTATGTCAGCCTTTAAAATATATGAATATAAAGAGTTAAGTGTAAATTTGTAAAGAGAAAAATTAATTATTAGATTTATGATTGAAATCAACCAAATGATAAGTGTTGAAATATTTTCTAAACTCTTCTGTACAAGCTTACAAGTAAATATAATATTTTGTTTTACAATACGTTTTCCTGTTTGTGCGTTATATTAGAAAATAACATTTCACTTCTAAAAATATCTGAAGAATAAATCGTAATCGCTTGTTACAGAAGTAACTGACATTTGATATATGTTGTTTATGTTGATGTCACCCAGGAACTCGTAGGATATTGCATCCAATAAGTAGCAGATACAGCGTAATGTAATATCACGTAAACAACAATTGCAAATTTAACAAAAATTGCATTTTTTTTAGTGTCTTTTTTTAATTATTCATTATAGTGGCATCTGATATGAATCATATTTTTAGTGTTTATTACTATTTGAATACTAACTAACTGCCATAGTTTTACAGATGGAAACAGTTTTCCCATCTCTATGTTATGAATTTTATTATTACAATTTGAGTAATCATAATGTTTTTTTAATGATGCAAAAAATATTTTAACTTGAAAAATATTGCTTCATCAGGCTGCCTGAGGTGTATAATAAACTCCATTATTAAATTCATTTGCCTAACCACTTATTCACGGTAAAGCACTTATGAACAACTTGGATTCTTAAAAATATTAATAAGCTCCATATTCTAAATCCAACTGCAAGAAATAAAATTCTGTTTAATATTTCTTACTTTTATTGCTCACAATAAATTTTTACAAATTGGTCATATTTAACAATTTACTTCTATAAATAAATAGAAAAAAATAAATAAAGTTATATTTATGAAACAATGATCAAGTTTAGAATATATTTTACTTATACGTATTAGGTTTATACTTTGAAAAGAATCTACAATAATATAATTTTTTTGGAATTTGTAAAATTTGCTAAACCACAAAAAATGCATTTAATAAATATATTATAAATATAGTAAAATTATATATCACTGTTTGTTATATGTGGTAAAAATAAAATTTTTTTCTTCAAAATATACCAATTTATTTTAGTGTTGCTTGATTCGCGATCTAGAGGCAAAATAATTTATTTTACATAGGACCTAAAAGCGGCGGATATATGAGATTGTAGGAAAAAACACCATTACCAACATCACTAATAATAATTGCGGGACACTTTAATTACAAATGTATATATATAAACATTACATTTAACATAATAACATCTTATTATATAAAAAATGTGACAAACAATTTTGTCCAATATGAAATTAGCTTTTAATCGTCCATGACCATTTACTGGTGAAAATTTTGTATAATTAAATATAACTAAATAATTTATTTGATGAAATAATTAGTGGCTTGGTTGCGATATGGCAATGTGTTCATTATTAGCAAAAGTATATTCGTAGCAATAACAATTGTTTTAAGTGAAAATACCAATTCAAAGTCCTTCATACCATAACAGAAACATATTATATGAAATGAGTAGGCTTATCATATATCACATATTATTCTGCGTACAAGTTGTGTGTTTTATTTATGATATACTCAACTAATATATGTTAATTATTAAATAGTCTAATTTTTTATGCATTTTATAGATAAATCATTATAAATAATTTTATTTTGACGTAGAATTATAATAATTTAGCAATTATTATGACTCAACGAAGCGATCGGTAAAATGTAAAAATTTGATAAACAGATCCAACAGAAGACTTTTCAATTAAATAAATTCCAATAACAACGAGTAACTTTCTGATAAAAATATTTTATTACACATCTATAACAATGTGTGTCAAGTTTCATCAAATTCGCAAAATCCGTTTT